TTACAACAAAGAACCACAAGCAGTAAATAAATTTGACTTAAGTAAACTACTTAAACTAAAACCAGTTCCGAAATGTATAAGGACTGTCGGAATAGGTGCCCAGAACAGGGCTCCACCCACCGATGTCGAAACAACATATATATTATACAAAAACTTTAATTCATACCTTCACTTTAAGAGTTATACCTTCACTTTAAGAGTTATAATGCTCAACTTTTTTCGATGCGTTTGTACTTGATTCTAGATTGTACATCGTGACCTAGCAGCTCGTAACGTATTGCTCACCAATGATCAAGTTTGTAAAGTTTCCGATTTTGGATTTGCAAAAGATATATTTGGAGCAAAAACATTTAACAAGAGGATGTCTGTAAGTAGCAAGCAGGCATAAAGCGTATATATATCATTCTAGCTTAGATTGATTGAGATCTAGGCCTGGATAACCTTATCTTCAATATATTGTAAAATGCAATGTATTGTAACGTGATCGAATTTCACAATTTTGATTGTAACATTTTCAATTTTATAAGCTCGAACCAGTTCGTTGGATGGCACCGGAGTCATTAAAAGAGAACGTGTTCAGTACTAAATCGGACATATGGTCTTTCGGTGTGGTTCTTTGGGAAATCATCACATTTGGTAAGCTAGGCCTACACATTGTTTAAGAGTGGGTTACTCTAATTCAGTTTTTAGTCGAGAATCAATAATTATTATACACAAAGCTTTCCTCATGTTTCATCATAACTCAAAAACTTCCTTTATATTAGCTTAATCACACTACTGCAAAAGGAAGGATTCTTCGTCCATTTCCATATCTCTCCAGGGATATCACTAGATAGGGCCTATCGTCGGGAAGAGCTTCACCCCCACCTCCGTCTTAGAGAAAAAACACAATTCGTAGGGGAAAAATTGTATTTTCTATATAAGTATTAGTACACTCTAAAATCGATTAGATAAGCCTTTGAAATGCCTAAATTGTCATGATCTTCACACCATGACCCACACCCCGGACATCATCAATTACAGTATTTCCACATGGAAGACTTTTTTATGGAACAACATTCATGTT